GTGAGGTGAGCTAGAGTGCTACCTGGCTGGGACTGGGCCACATCTGTCCTTCCAAGCCACCTGCTCTTTTTCTTCTTCACTTCATGGTCCGTTATGGTGCTACTTGCTAAGGGCTAAGGGAGGGGCACTTTTGGCCAGAGATCTACTTTGTTCCTGTTTTCCCCTAGGTCAGAGAAGAGCCAGAGAGGCTGGAAACCCTCTACAGCACCACCAGGAACTGTTTCTTCCACAGCTGTGTGGGGGTGCAGACTGTAGCTGTCAAATAAGCTAGTGAGAGACAGAGCTGGAGCTCTCTGCTGCTGCTCCCTGCCTGAGAGCGCAAAGGGGACCTTCTGCTTTCCCCATGTCCCCAGTGAAGCTGGGAGTTGTGGCCTGCCTGGGGAGGGTGGCAGGAGGAGGGATGTATGGAGGGCTTAAAGTGCTTGGAGTGCCTGTAGGAAAAGCATTGTGGGGTGAGTGCTCAAGGGGAGGCTGGGCCTCAGCACAGGGAGTTGCTTAGCTCTGCTTAGTCCCACTTCCGAGGAAGGTGCAAGTCGGAGGGACTTCACTGTGTCAGAGGGTGGCATGAGGCTGTGCTGATCCTCACTGCGTCCAGCTGAAAGCCTTTTCAGTGAGGTATCCTCTTCCGCAACCTGTTCTAGGGAAGGTTTTTCTGGATCTGTGGCATTGAAAAAGCACCAGTTTCATGCTCTGCTTGGTCTCTGCCCTCAGAGTGGCAGAAAGGTTTCTTGGGCCCTCCTCCCCAAAACAGCAACTGAGCTGAGGAGGCATTTTGGATCTCTCAGGAATCTTGTGTGGTCGGAGTGCAGGAGACAGAGCTTGAGCTGTGAGGGCCAAAACCCTAACCCTGAACTCTAAAGCTTACCCTGGAGCTAACAGACCTCTCATGCTACCTCTAATTCCCTAATCCTGTCAGGCAGCAGCAGGTGCACTCTGACTGCAAGGTCACCAAATGCTTTCAGAAACCACTGCTCTGGCCGGACTCCTGCTTCTCATCTTCCTGGGTCTGCCCAAGGCAGAAGTATAGCTCCCGTCCCAATGGTAAATCTTGCCTGACCAACTTGATTGCCTTCTATCATAAGGCATGATTTGTGGATAAGGGAAGAGCAGTAGATGTCATTTACCTTGATTTTAGCAAGACTTTTGACATTATCTTCCACAAAGCTCTGGCATCTGAGTTAGGACATTAAGATCTGAATGAGTGGGTAAAAAAGTGATTGAGTAGTCAGACCAAGAGGGTGGTGCTTAATGGGTCAAGTTCTACATGCTGGTAATACAGGGAGTATTGCAGGGGTCGTTGCTGGAATGTGTCAGGCTTCTAATATCTTTGAAGAAATCAAGAAGACAGAGCCAGGATCTTCATTGTGGTGCATGGTGGGAGGATGAAAGACATAAGCTGAAAAAGGAGAGCTTCAGACTGAGGAAATAAGAGGAAATAAGAGGATAAGAGGAAAAACTTCTGTCGTAAGGACAATCAAACAGTGGAACAGGTTGCCCAGGAAGGCTGTGTCTTCATTCTTGGAGGCTGTCAAGAGGCCCTTAAGCTTATCAACTAGTCCTCCAGTTAACAAGTAGTTTAGTGTCATCCGCAAATTTGACAAGAGTGCAGTCACCTCTTCCAGATCATTGATTAAGATGTTAAACAGGGCAGGTTCCAGTATGAACCACTACAGTACTCCTCTAGTTACCAGCATTCAAGTAGTGTATGCCCCATTACCCTCTGAGCCCCATCCTCCAACTAGTTTTTTACCCATCTAGTTGTCTGTTCATCCAAACCACAGTATCCTAACGTAACAAAAAGACATGGACCAACTGGAGTGAGTCCAGTGAAGGGACTCAAAGATGATTAAGGAACTGGAGCATGTCTCATACAAGCAGAGGATGAGAGAGCTGGGACTCCTTAGCCTGGAAAAGAAAAGGCTCCGGGGATGTCAGTAATGTTTATAAATATCTGACTGGACCATATAAAGAAGATGGAGGCAGACTTTTCTCAGTGGTGCCCAGTGAACAGAGGGTAGACAATAGGCACAAATTGAAACATGGAAAATTCCATTTGAACATAAGAAAACACTTCTTCACAGTTTCCCCATAGACATTGTGGAGTTTCCATCATTGGAAGTAGTCAAGATGAACGTGTGTGTGTGTGGGGGGGGGGGGGGGGGGGGGTGTCCCTC